TTCTGCAAATCGAATTGCAAGTTTATATGTAATATGCGGGTTAATATATAATTGCTATATATAAAATGTCATTCTGGGAATCGCAAGAGTCCTTATTACCTTTTTTTTATTTATTTTTTATTCCATGGTGGAAACAAGAAGTCTGAGTTTCAAGATACAAACTCAGAATTCAGAAAAAAATCAGAATCATAATGGGAAAAAAAGTTAGAATTGCTAGATGTAGGCTCAGAATTATGAAAAAAAAACATAATTGCGAGAAAAATAAAGAATTGTAAGGAAAAAGTCAGAATTTTGAGTCTATATCTGACATATTCAGACTTTTTTTTTGTCAGAAAAAAAACCTACCTTTTTTTGACCCATGCTAGAAACAGGCTTCCATAAATATCTGATATAAAAATATATTAAAATTCTCATAGGGTGATATAAAATGCTAAATGAGATCTTAAAATATCTTGAAAATTAGTTTATATATAAAAATAAAAAATTAAGGACAAAGGTGTTTGTCAGGGGCTGGCGTCTGGTGTTCTCCCTCTCACCACCAGAGGTCGCCATCTCCCATCCTCCCGGACTCTTTCTCCGTCACCTTGACACCACACACCTGGGCACCCACTCACACACACACACAGCTGTCGCCCATCCGGGACTCCATCACCTGCACTCCACACACCTGTGCACACACTCACTCTCACACAGCTGTGGCCCGTCATGAGGACTATTTAGGCGCCTTCCCCACGCCACTCGGGGCGGATAACTAAGGTTTGGTTGAGTTGTGTTACGAGCTTGATTAATTGTTTGTACGGGACTGATGCCAGCCCTACGTGGCCGTATGGTGTCAGAGTCTGTTCCCTTGCCTGTGTCTCAGAGTCTTAGCTCTGTTTATGTTTCGGTTTTTACCTTTGTTTTCCCTGGCAGTGAAATAAACCTGCATTTGGACCCAAAACCCTTGCTCACACGGTGTGATTCCTGACCGCGCCGTGACAGTGTTAATATAGACTTAATAAGTTGATTTAAATTTATATTATACCATCATCTGAGCTGTACTGAAATAATTAATCTAAAAAAAACAGCATTAAATGCAAAAAGCAAAATGGCTACAAAAAGTGAGAGAAAAGAGCAGAGAGGGAAAAATGGCAGTTTATTCTAGATATGGATGACAGTGATATAAAAAAAAGGAATAAGAAAAAAAATTAGGATAACATTCCAGGGATTGAGGGAAAATATGAACCCTTATAACCATCCAGATTGCAATCATGTAGAAGTATTAAAAACCGCCTGTGAAAAGTGCAGGAGACATTAGCATATTTACAACTTACTCCAACTTAGTTAAAGCTATGTGAAACAACCCTTGTGAAAAGGTGTGAGAAAGCCAGCTGGAATAAAAATGAAATACTTCAAGGAAGACGAAGACGTGGCCAGCAGGAAGATTCCCTACACAAGACAAATGAGTTATAGCTTTATTCATCATTTCAGCTGCTTCTTCTGTGGCTTTTGTATGGATCATTATGTTCTTGGGGAATGAAAGGTAGAGCGGTGAATAGACTGAGAGGTTGGGAAAGGCAGACAGTTTCTTTCAAAGCTCTTGAGAGAACAAAAAGGGGCTACAGAAGCATAATTATGACATCACATCTATTGAAGCGGATGAGGCGGTATCTCGTTCAGCGGGTCAGAGCCAGTTCCGTCTCGCTCTGCATATATTTCCACCTTCTAAAGCCTATATTACTTAAGTCTTTACACACTCTGGGCATGGGGAAAGCCTTGATCTATTGTACAAGATGCTTTTGATTGCATTTAGTCCTTTTTTACAATGAGTGTTATTGGACGGACGATATGAAATGGATCTGTCATAGATAGAAACTCGATCCGGTGTGTGAAATGACTGACATAACCGGGTGCATGATAACAGTTGTTATGCAATGTGAAGTTAATTGTGTCTCGTTTCACATTCACAGGCAGACTTGGGATATTTCAACACTCTTCCAGATTGTTTTAACAGGTTTTGTATTTTTATGACCTTCAAAAGCACATGAGGAGTTCACAGGTGCATCGACGCGATAGATTTGAGCGGGTGAAAGCGAGAGATGCGAGACTCATTAAGATGTTGTCATGCTACGTGAGAGCGTCGTGCGAGCCTTTGACGGCACCAAGATTTAATCTGCACTCACCTCCCTCTTATCCAGATGGGTTTCTCTTATTTTTTCAACTCACAGGTCTGTGAAGTGCCATCTGTTTATCAGCAGTAAATAAGTTCTGAGTTGTTCGTCAGTGACAGCCGTCCCAGCAGATCTCAGCCATCGGAAGCACTGCGCTTCATGGTGGTTTAGAAAAAAATACTTCAGCATAATATGTCTGATGAGGTGTAAAGCTTGACCGTTGGTGGTATTAAACCGTGCACATCAGTAACTTTCCTCTCCATTTCTTAGCTTTTCTTATTCTACATCCTGTGAATTACAAGCAGTTTGTGTTGAATCACATCAACAATGTAGTTCAGAAGTGTGATGAGTGTTCTGATGTTTGAGATTGTTAATTGCAGTTTTACTTGCAGGCAATTCTCAATAAAATAAAAATAAACACACTGAATGCCTATATTTGGTCAGTTCAGTCATTTGGCAACTTGTGAACATTGATTTTAACCTGAGAGTGTCATTCTAAACTTGTGTGAATCTGTCTATTCTTTTCTATTCTATTCTATTCTATTATTAGGACAGGGTCTTAGAAGACCTTTCTTATTTGAATTGTTATTTTCATGTCATTGAGACACAATTAGTTGCTTAATATTTTAAATCAGTTTTTATTTTTGTTTTAATTTTAATTTTAGTGAAATCCAATTGGTTTTATTGTTATCTTTAATAGTATTATTTAAAATAATATATATAATAATTGTTATAAGTTTATTTTATTTCAAGTAACATTTATTTTATTTCTGTTGTTGTTGTTTATGGTTTTACTTTTAGTTAACTATAATAACCTTGGTATGAAAACAGTTTTCCATATTCATCGGATCATTGGGTTTCTTTAAATACCACACCTCAAGTCGAAATTACGAGAATAAAGTCAAAGTCAAAATTCCCCATTTAGTTTTAAGTCACTTTTTTCCCCTCCAAAAACAGCAATGTACTGTGATTTTTCACTTTATTAATTGCAGCTTTGTTGGAATGACATACTTCTGAGCCACTATTTGAAGCCTGGGATAGCAAGAGTAATTTATACAGAGAGGCAATGCACTATGGGTAAATGACTGCAGCACAGGCCTCCTGGGCTTTATGTGAAACAGATGGATGAGTTTTATTAAGCATGTGGTACTTAATGCTGCACTGAGTGGGATTTCAATAAAGGAAATAAATGTTAGCATTAACAGCACCTCCCTGTGTAATGTGCCATCATGGCTTTCCAGTAGGGTTGACTTATTTTAACAAATGCTTGTTGTCTTGGATTTATGAATATTGGGCTTTTGGTCTGGAGAAGGTTTATTTCCCATATGATGAGTAGGTGGTGTTTGATAGAGATAAAATGGTTTCAACCAGTCTGAAAATTTGTTTTGATACATTTATACCTTTTCCTCTGTGTCAGAAAAACCAGGTGTCTATATAACACTTCTGTGCCCATTTCTTTAGCTTATGCATTATTCATGCAGTGAATGCATGGTATTTCTCCTGAAATATCTCTGAAATAACCTTGGCTTCCCTTAAAACTAAATTTCAGGAATTTGTGTTTGTTCGCTGTCTTTCACAATCTCTAAAGAAAACTACTGTATATAATATAAGTAAACTTTATAAGGAAAGCACATCTTGAATAAAAATGCTGACAATGGGAATTTTTGGTATATGTCTTTCACCTGACAACTTAAATACTTAAATATTCTTAAACATAGCATTTTCAGGGAACTTTAGAAAATAAACTTTACTTTTCACACTCTCTATAATTAATGTAGTTTTGTATAAGTAAGTAAATAAATGAATAAATAAATAAAATGGTTCATCTTACATTTTAAATATTTAAACATTGGAATTTGTCTTTCAAAAGCTAATTTCACAGCTAGTATTTTATGTTTACAAAATACACACAATTAAATGTTTTTTGAACAATTACAGCTTGATTGGAAATGACTCACAATAGAAATGTTCTGCTCACAACTGATATTTACTTTGACATGGTTTTTAATATGCAATTATTCATAATTGTGGATCATTTTTAATGTTTGTAATATATTTTAAGATTAAAAGATTAAGTATCCAACTATATGAAGTATCCAAGTCTGTTTTGTAGTGATATTAATATAAATCAGCCCTTGGGATAAAAATACAAAATACAAAAAAATCCCAAAATTTATTGATTAATTGATTGATTTACCTACCAAAAAATCCGTCCCTTCTGTCTCACTCTCTCTTTCTTTTTCTCTCACATCTTGACATTCTGGTTAAGGACATGGTCTTGAAGGAAAGGTGATGTGGGCGTTAATTGACATTTACATGTTTTCTTTCAGTATTACCTTTGAAAAGTGATTGAAACTTGACATTTATTTAGACTAGCACCTGTCAGTGAGAGTCAATGCTCTTTCATGAAGCCTTTATCATTGTTTCAGCACCGTCCCCTGAAGAAGGCCTTACACAGGAAGAAGTGTAAATAAACAAAAGAATATTTTAGTCTCATAGATTACCGGTCAATCATGAGCAATAATTAACTTTTTTTACCGATTGACTTTAGTGTTTGAAATGTCAATGATGAACTGCGAGACTCTTTTGAGGTGACGTCATGACTTCAATACAATGATTGGTGGATTAGATCTTAATTACTCCATTTTACCAGTTAATTTACAACGTAACCGCTCATTAAAATTATGTGGCGCTTTTCAGTGCATATTGACAGCGTCTAACCAGCACTAAAGCAGTCGTGGAACAATTACTTGTTCTTCAATTAAGCCACTTAAGCTCTTATCACGACTGTACTCCCTCTATCCTGAAGCTCTACTGACTGTTCCCAACCATGTTCTTATGTGTCCACAGACTCTTCCAACCACGCAGTATGAGCTAGAGATTGTGGCGAAGGACATGGCAGGAAGTGAGGTGGGACTGACAGGAACTGCAACAGCCACCATCACCATCACAGACAGGAACGACCACGCACCTGAGTTTACACACTCACTGGTAGGAGGAACCTTTTTTTCTTTCTTCCTTTCTTTCTTAATGTTATTCATTGACTATACGTGACCTGCTCCATATATTCAGTCATGACCCAGAAACACGTTGAGTTTTATTCACTGAATGAAAAAGTGTCAGCTTTCTAATAATAGTTGTTACGTTTCTACTACAAACTGGATATGAAGAGTTCATTTGCAAAAACCAATAAACGCAACTTTCAAAAAAATTAGCTGATTGCCTTGCATTATTCTCCACATATAGCGCAATATGAACCCTAAACACGTTTTGTCAAAAAAGACGGTTTTGTCCACTTTTAAGGCATCGCGAGTTTACGTTTTACTGCAGAAGCCGACAAGCGCCCTTGTTGTTTTTGAACAGAAGCCGATAATTTAAGCGAATCAGCGCTGTATTCAGGTCAGGTGACAAGGTTACTTTAACTTTGAAAAGACGTGCTAGCTGAGAGGAGTTTCGTCAAAGCTGACTAAAAGTGATCGAGGATGGATCATTTTGACGAACTTGATGAACCTGCGATATCTTCTTCAGGGCGAAAAAGGAAAATAAAAGCTGAAACTTTTTCACGGAACCTTGCAGAAGCAGCGCGTTGAGTGTATTGAGTGTAATCACATCCATACAGTTTATGATCACAACAACAACAACATTTGTCAGGCAACTACATTGTCATCTGAGGAGATTACAAAGAATAAACAAGTGTTTTTTTAAACTCTAAAACATGAAATGTGGAGTTATCTGCTTTTGCCAAAAAACGACTGTTGGAGTTATCTGCTTTTGCTATAAAACAAACTTTTAATATGTTAAAAAAACATACTTTCAATGAACTTACAAAAATAGTTTTGTAAATTATCTGTATTTGTTTAAGTTATTATTACTTAATCAAAACAACCCAACTGCAGTTTGATTGATATTACTTGGAATGTGCAATAAAAAAACGTGATTTCTGGGGAAGTTATCTGTTTTTGCAAATTAAATCTTCATATAATAATTTAAATGGCTGTCATAAACTTGTTTTTCATAAAATGGCTACTAAATATTTCAAACAATTTTCTGACTATTTTTAAATAAAATTATAAGATTTATTTAAACAAAAATGTATTGCAAAAAAGTATCTTATGCTTACAAAGGCTGCATATATTTATTTAAAAATACAGTAAAAACAGTAATATTGTGAAACATTACAATTTAAAATAACTATTTGAATTTAACATATTTTTAAAATGATTTCTATTGTGGCAAAGCAGCCATTATTCCAGTCTTCAGTGTCACATGGTCCCATACTGATTTGGTGCTCAAGGAATATAGATAATAATAATAAAAAATATATATGTTGAAAACAGTTGTTATACTTAATATTTTGATTAGATAAGAGAAGAGAAGAGCGTATATATTTTTCTCCACAAATGGCTCATTGCAACTTCTGACTAAAGCATGTCACATATATTCATTGATGCTTTAGCATTGCAGAACTGCTCTATTGACTAATCAGCATCCATGATTATATCACTATCATTTTTATAACTGAACAATCAACCCTATGAAAAGCTGACTATTGTACTACAGTCACTTTCTTTTGAGATGATTTATAATGGTTTGAAGCAGCTTAACACCTGCAGTCCTTTACCATGAGGACAAACACTTTAACTTCTCAGTCCAGAAGGCCTTCACCAATCATTTCCAATTGTCAATCACTCAAATCACGTGTATACACACAGAAGCCCTCCCTGCTCAGCCAGGGCCTCAGCTTTTCACTCAGATACACTGACCTTGTGAGCAAAAGCCCTGTGCATCAATCACTCTAATCTCAGGTGCGCTGCAGTGACAGCTGTGATTCACAAATACTCACACACAAAGGTGATGGACTGGGTCCCTTTCGATCGCTTATCCTCCGCGACCTCCTGTTTGTGGTTTGAAGGTATTGTGTTATAATACTCAGGGCCTCCCCTGGCAATGATGGTCTATCCATGGACGGAGTGTATTGTTTGTGCGTGTATTGTTGTTGTAATCATTAGTATTGCTGGAGTTTTTTTAGCTGCACATTATAGCTATAGGCTATAAAATACACATTAGTCTTCTGCCAAACAGTCACAAACAGAGGCCACCGCTGCCATTCAGCAGTCTGAAACCCAGAGGGCAAGAAAACTGCACTTATGCTATGTGCAAACTTAAGCTACGTGTCCATTTGAGCCCACCTATGATGAATTTGTCAGAAAATGCTACACTTGCACTTTGCTAGCCAGCGGAGGGAAAACAACTATGCCAGGCTGATGCAGAGACACTTATTTTGAGCTGCATGGTTTTTTAGAGGAAGTGCCCTGGGCTGTTGTCAGATTCCTAGAGATATCACGTCCACCCTCACTTGGCCCATTCCCAGGATGCACTGCTGTGCCAGCAAGAGGGGCTTTCTGACTGGTTGGTGTGGCCACTCATTTGGGTTACCTATTTAGAGTGGCTTTGACAATTGCTGCTTCCTTGCTTTAAGGCAGGGGTGCCCAACCCTGCTCCTGGCGATCGACTGTCCTGCAAAGTTCAGCTCCAACCCTAATCAAACACACCTGAAGCAACTAATTAGGGTCTTCAGGATCACTTAAAAATTAAAGGAAGGTGTCTTTGATTAGAGTTGGAGCTAAACTTTGCAGGACAGTCGATCGCCAGGAGCAGGGTTGGGCACCCCTGCTTTAGGGTGTTCACTGTAAACACTAACAAGCTCAATATATGCAAAGAATTTGCATAAAAATAATTGCCTTAAAGTAGTTCAGTAATTTCTGTAAAAAACAATGTGCTCTTTATATTGAACGAACTTCGTTAACCATCATTAACTAGTGGGTCTTATTTATTTATTTATTTAAAATTTTAGCGATAAGTGGAGATCATGGTTAGATTAGAAATTGGCTGTTATTAGACAAAACTCTTCTGTGAGCTGTTTAAATGAAAGCCAATGTCCAGATTTTACTGTGTATAACATTCTAAATTTATATAACATTACTTCCTGAACCTATTTTCATAAAGTAAACATCTTGTTTTATGCAAAGTCATCAGATCTGCATAGAGGAAATTGATTTTAAATGAACTAAGGTTCACCATCAACACCAATCAGCATAATGGTGACTTATGAAATGGTTATTTACGATAAAATAATATCAACAACATAAACAGAGCTACTACTTTAGATAGTGACATTTATGTGAACATTTCTAACAGTATCTGTATTTGTATCTATATTCTCATGTCACTTTACCCTGCTCCTTAACGACAAGTGTGTTTGTGTTCAGTATGTTTTTAACAAGCACTTTCCATTATATATTTTCTCCATTTACCAGTCTGACAGGGTCCACTGCAGCACCTCGTCTTTGCACACGCTTGAAAACACTCTTGACTGTGCTGTAAAATTCTGCAGTAGGAAAGCCCGCTGTCTCCTCACAGGTGATTTTTGAGTGCATGTCTCTGTTTTGGCATCAGTCCACCCTTCGGGACTAGAGAGCTGTGGTAGTGGATCAGCAGAATATCCCCTCCTCCTCCTCTTAGACTGCTGTATCTGACAGACCTCAGTAAATATTCATGAAAAACAAAGTGCATTTTGAAATTTCAGTCCTTTTGAAAAATGCCTAAGCTGGTTTGCTGGTATTAGCCAACTGGCTTTCCGGCTAAACCACCCAAGCACCGGCTTGACCAATCTGGGGTCAACCTCAGGATTTAAATGGATAGTTCAGGCAAAAATGAAAAATCAATCACCATTTACTCACTTTCATGCCATTCAAACCTGAATGACTTCCTTTATTCTGTAGAATGCAGAAGAAATTTTGAGAAATTGCATGTTACTTTCAGAGACTGAACAAACTAAATTCCACCCCACAAATTCCTGAAAATCAGCATTAAAATAAATAAATAATATACCAAATACATTTGGCTTTTTTTACAGCACACACTGCTTCACCATTTATCATTCTGTGATAATGCCCAGACTATTACTTGCCCCTGAAGTGAGATAATGTACTTCCTTATCTCACACTATTTTTGCAAGAAAGCAAATAACTCAGAAACTCTGAATCTGTTCTTTTTAAATACAATTTCGAGAGAAAACGAGAGTAGAAAAACATGCCACCTTCTCACATTTCCTCAATTTTTCTTAATTAGCAGATGTTTCACTTCATACATAATCACAGGCTGGCATGTAGTTTTCCTCAGACAGATTTCAAGTATATGATCATTGCCACAGTTTATCATTTTTAGGTGGACCCATCTGGTCATTTATTCTCATTAGCTGGTCTAGTTCAATGGATGCATTTAAATTCAGTGGTGTTGTAAACAGGATCACTTATAGAAAACTGTTTCTATCTCTGCTCCAAAGTGAGCCCCCACTTTAGTTCACTCTATTGTAAAACCAATACAACTCTTAATAAAAACAGGCCTACACAATGAAGCTGTATTATTTATTTGCATCAGTGACACCGCTTCCCAGAGATCTTTTATTAAATATCTGGTTCTTTACATTGCAAATTGCTCATCACAGTGAAAATCAATTGGAATTTAAACTACCCCATTGAGATCATATCCTCAATTGAACCAAGAAGATCAAGGAACGTAAGATCTGCACTTCCTTTTTTTTAATGATATGCCGCCTGGGCTAAGGTTTTTTGGTTTTCCGTAGTTCATTTCATGTATTTAGCATCCGGGCTACCACTGAACATTCGTCTTTTAAAATAAATGTCTGCAGTGTGTGACAAGAGAATTATTGTCTGCCCAGAGATAATTCTAGGCCATGGTCAATGTATGGGGTCACGTAACAGTGTCCCGCAGTGGGAGTATTATTAGGATAATAGCAGACCTATCCATCCTCCCTCTATTATCTCTGTCTCCCAGGGTCCCTCTGACTCATGTTCCCTGTTTCGGGATCTTGGAGCCGTGGAGGGTGAGGCCAGAGGCTGTGCTATTTGCCGCAGGTGGTATGTACATGCCCGCCCGCCCTCCCTGGCACTTTGTGATAACTGGCATCT